TAAGAATAATTTTCTAAACATCACGCAAATTTTGGAAATTCACAGAAACCCTTCTTTTTTTCATCGAGAACTGATTTTATTTTATGGCAACAGTATTTGCAGTTAGAAAAGGTTTTAAAACTGAACCAGTTAAAACTTCCGTTCATAGAAAACTGACAGCACGGCTATGAATGCTAAAAGAGACTGAAAATTCATTTATAATAGCTGGGCTATACCTAACTTAAAACAATAAACACTAACTAAAACAACTTACAATCGAAACGTTGGAAATTAATGGTACTTTCACAAAGGACACATACGTATTTTCCTTTAATGAAATCAGTAATAAACGTATTCTATCCGGCGTTGTGTTGAGGAAGTTGCTCAGTACAGCTACCGACGATTAGGCTGCTTGCTGGGAAAAATTGGCGCGATTGAAAAAAAATCGAAACCGATTTAGTAAGTATTTGAATTCATTTACTTTGTTTACATAGAAAGTTGGTTGGTCACTGAAGCCAGATCGACAAAGCATAGACTTCTCAGGCGGAACAACAATTCTACATCCTGTTGCTTCAGTCTTGGCGNCAGCTACCGACGATTAGGCTGCTTGCTGGGCAAAATTGGCGCGATTGAAAAAAAATCGAAACCGATTTAGAAGCTATTTGAATTCATTTACTTTGTTTACATAGAAAGTTGGTTGGTCACTGAAGCCAGATCGACAAAGCATAGACTTCTCAGGCGGAACAACAACTCTGCATCCTGTTGCTTCAGTCTTGGCGGCTTCTACAACTAATTACGAGCGATCTGAGTCATAAACTTTAATTGGTGTGATACATTTTGTGGTTCTCAGCGATCAGTTGTGCCGAAAATAACAGCACGAAAACAAGGAAGAGGAACAGTTGAGCTTACACGAGGCGATTGAGAGTGGCCAGTGCATGAGCGAGGTTGTCAAACAAGTGAACGATTCATAATTTTCGACTAACATTCACTAGCTCGTTTGAACCATGAATGCAACGGTAAAAACAGAACAGAACAGAACAGACAACTTCATTGATGAACCATTAGCATCGTTCTATGTTCGTGTTGTCTTGTTTGCCTTCATTATGCTAGGGAGTGTACTTGGAAATGCCGTGGTGTGTAAATCCATTTTGTCGTTACCTACTCGTCAACTTCTATTTTCTTATTACTTGGTGACCAATCTCGCTGTCGCTGAAACCATCAGCTCACTTTGTTTCCCGTTCTACTTCGTTTATGACTGGTTGAATCATTGGCCTTTTGGTGACGTCGCCTGTAAGCTGGTGTTTCCCATTCAAATGACGGCCATGTTTGTGGAGACTTATACGCTAGCTTTCATTGCGGCTTACAGATATCGAGTGATAGTCTCCAGTTGCCACCAGTTAGCCTCTCGTTCGCTAGCCAAAGTGTTGCTAGTACTTGGTTTGTTGTGGGTTGCCGCTTTGATAGTTGTGCTGCCAGTTGGAGTGATGCACGCCGAGATCAAGCTCCCGTCTGAACAAAACCACTGTAGAGCCCTGTTCCCTGGTGATACATCGCAAGATGCCTCAAGACACACTAAATACTCTATTGCTCGTTTCATCGTGAGTTTTGTTGTTCCGTATCTCATTATCTCGATATCGTACGTTGCTGTGGCTGTCAAGATCAAAACCCACGTGACTGAGTTAAATGCAACGCGCACAAATGGTGTAACCGGAGAGGATCTACCGCCTCAAAATGGACATGCCCGATTCATCGAACTAGAAACAATGGAAGGGAATGCTTGGGTGCAGAACGAAAACGGAAAGAAAACCAAAGCAAAACGTCAAACTGGTAAAGTTGGATGTCCAAGGCACGCCTTGCCTCCCGTCCAAGCCGTCCGAACAAGAGATGATTGCAGTAGTGTCATGAACTTCGAAGTGGACATTCTCAGAATGATCTATTTGATCATACTTACTTTTATTGTTTGTTATATTCCTATCCAGGTTGTGTTTATCTACGAACAAGTAAAGGGCGGGCTATCTGATTGGCCATATTACATTATTGTAAGGAGGTATGCGTTCCTTCTGACTTGTCTTCCTGGGGCATTTCATCCTATTCTATATGGAACAATGAGTAAATTTTACGCTAAAGCGTTTGCTACACTGGTGTCGTGCCATACGAAGTGAGCTGCCATGCGTTTACACTTGATCCCGGCAAATTAAACCTTGCACATATATCTTTTAGACCTTGGAGTAAATTGCCAGCTACGAACTAGCGCAGAAACAATACTTAATTGCAAACAGTGAAGAAGGAAATTCAAAGTCT